ATCGCTGCCGGGGAGAGTTTTCACCCGGTGCTGTAAAAATGAATTAAATTAATTAATGGCGAAGGAACAAATAATCTGAAGAACTACCATCCCGTCACATGCCTGCCGACTGTATATAAGCTACTCGATTCCAGCTTGTCAAATGGGCAGCTGAGGAGCAGAAAGGTTGCACGAGAGGCTCATATGGTTGCAACCATATGTTTATGGTTCAACGAGTTGACGAGTAGCTGCAGCTACTCGTCAACCAGATGGTTCTCGACGTCAAATCTAGGGGAAAGAACCTGTCAGAAGGCATAAGATAGCATCCCAACCTCATGGAGTGCTTGAAGTCGTACGGGGTAGGCCCGAGAGTAGCGCACTTTCAATGTGAAGGGAAACAATGACTCTTCGGGGGGCATGGTTCAGGGTCGTCACAAGGGAGGTCAAGATCCGCTGTGGAAAATGTTCGAGACCCTTTCGCCGTTGCCCTTGCCTTGAACCCAGTGAGTGACCCGCTCGACTCCAGTGGGGTCGGGTTCCATTCGGGAAAAGGGAAGACCAAGAACCGCTTCGTTGATCAGCTGGTGCACGTGGACGACATTGAGTTGTTCACCGCGGGGGGCCCACCGTTAGAGGAACTTCTCGATGCCGTGGAAATGCTCACGATGGACGTTAGGATGAGATTAGGCCTCGACAAATGCACGAAGCTGTCTTTTCACAGAGGGAAACCAGTAGAATCCGACGCCATTGTAAATCACGAGAGGTTTGACGAACTTCGAGCCCAGAACACTTACGAGTTCCTGGGCTTTGAGGGAAATGCCACTACAACTCATCACGGGTCAAACACTTTCCCGAGTTCAAGAAACGCCTACGAACAGCGCGGAAGTCTACTTGAAAAGCAGGAACGAGATCACAACCATTAACAGCTTTGCGATCCCCGTTCTCGGCTTGAGAATGCTCAAACGCACAGTCGTCGAACCACAGAATCACGACCGCAAGACGAAGAAGGCACTTCCTGCACTCCGCAGACAAGAAAGACCCAAAAGTTGCGGTCGAGACCTCCCAAGGAGAGACTGCGGAAGCGGACTTCTGAATGCAGAGGGTCTCCACGAGCGTACGATGGCCTGCCTTCAAGGCTCCATAGACCAGAAGAATAACAATGTGATTTAACAATGTGGTTGACAAAACGATGTGAAGCGAAACCCGTCGTTTCGTGAAGGCTAGCTCTTTCACCGATTCTGACGAAGTGAAGAAGACCCTATAGGCTACCTTCCTCCAGCGTTGCCGCCATAAATCTCTGCATTGTCAGCATGCAAAGTTACTTGAAAAGCCGTGGGTAGACCGGAGCTAACAGTGGCTGAGTGGAGCCGAAAGGGGAAAGGGAGGGAACCATCATTGCCGTTCGAGACCAGACCATTCGAGGGCCAATTACAAGCGCCATATCATGGTTAAGAATGCGACTGATACATGTCGAGCCTCTCAAGAACATCCAGAGACGATTCACCTCACTGTGAGTGGTTGCCCAGTGCCCATGACACCGTGGGACGATACGTGCACTGGTGCCTATGTAGGGACAGTGGATTGCCTGTCGGCGAGCGTTAGTATCAACATCGGCACCATCCAGGAGAATGAGAAAGTTAAGCTGCTGTTGAATGTACCAATCCAGACAGACAGAACGATCAGGGCCAATAAACCAGACATCGTAGCAGTTGACAAACTAACGAAGTCTGCCAAGTTGATAGAGGTTAGTGTCCCGGCAGATTCCAACCTCCAGCAGAAAATCAGAGAAAAGTTGGACAACACTCTGATTTCCGACTTGAAGTCGAACGAATGCGGGGCATCGATACCAGCATAGTCCCCATTACCGTTGGAGCAACAGGAGTTGCCCTGAAGGGTTTCCGCCATCTTCGGGATCAGTTGGCCGCTTCAACTCTGAACCCGACCATCATCCGAAAAAGCGCAATCCTTGGAACGGCTCATCACTAACGACGAGGAACAGGAATTGGGATGTAAGGGCAAGGACTGAAGTTCAGCCCTCCTCTCACCTGACATCCGGAAAAAATGCTGTGAAAAACTCCAATAATAATAATGACAATAATATTAAATAATAATATTAATAAAATAATATTAATAAAATAATATTAATAAAATAATATTAATATAATAGTAAGAACTCCCCTTTCTTCAGCTTTCTTTTCACTCGTTAAGCCAAGGTTATCCCTAGTCAAGCAAAAGCTTAGCCTGGTTCAGCCAAAGGCCTCGATTTTCAACGGTCTCCTGTGCTGTCTGGGGAAAAGAGATTGGGCTCTGGATGATCGCCAGGGAACAGAGTTCTGAGTTGCTTCCACTTCCAAATTTTCTCCACTGCTACGACTTTTTTGGCTGATCCAAGCGCTGAAATAGGCATGTTCTCTTGATTTCTGGCAATCTAAGTTATGGTAATTTGTAACTAATCATAGACTATTATAACTATTCAGAGAATATCATAACTAATCGTAAAATCATATGTTTCATATTTATCAAACCCCCTCGATCACAACGTTCCTTTCGGTCGCGGGTGCTCTCATGCCGGACCTGTTGCAGATAGAATCTCTGAGGAGCAGAATGAACAACCTGCTCGCCGAGAATGGAGCCTTGAGAGCGCAGCTCCGGATGGCCCGATGGAAGATGAGTCTCTGGTGGCTGGCGGGGAACGGTGGCCTTGCGAGGGGGAAGCCTCGGATGCGCGCTTTGGGAGGCCTCAGGCGGATGGGAGGGCGAGGAGGAGGATGGCAGTCTGAGTGAGGACGGATGGCGGGAGGATTCTGGAGGGAGAATTCTGGAGGGAGAATTCTGGAGGGAGAATTCTGGAGGGAGAATTCTGGAGGGAGAATTCTGGAGGGAGAATTCTGGAGGGAGAATTCTGGAGGGAGAATTCTGGCGGGAAGGATTCTGGCGGGAAGGATTCTGGCGGGAAGGATTCTGGCGGGAAGGATTCTGGCGGGAAGGATTCTGGCGGGAAGGATTCTGGCGGTAAGGATTCTGGCGGGAAGGTTACTGGATTTCCGTTTTGATACCACTGCAGACAAAAGATGGGAAGGTTTCGGATCGACGTTTTTCGTTCTATCTTGGCTGTTGCTGCGAAACCGATGACTTGAGAAAAAAGTGCTGCTTCATGTCATTTCCATTCTTTTTTGATCGTTTCGCCATACTAGATATATATGTCTATTTTGCATTTGTCTGTTCTATAAATGCCACATGATGTAAAAATAAAAAAAAGTTATCTTCGTTTCATCCCTAATGTCATTACAATTATTTTCACCGACGTATCTGACCATTTTTTTAATCTTGCCGTTACCTTGTATGGTGTTTTGTGCCCAGACTCGCCAGGGTGAGACGTTCTATTGGGCCACCTAGTATCGGCTCAAGTGACAAGTGGCTTCCACCTGTATTTCCCTCGTGAGGTTACACCTTTGCGCCGTAGGCAATCACTTCTTTCAATTGAGGGAGAACGAGAGCCCCCCCCGTCGTATAGATATGAGGTAGCGTTATTTAAATAATTCTCCGACTTTGGGAAGGGATGAGGACACGTCCAATCACGTGATAAATGCTAAGCATCAATCAGCACGTAACGGAATCCCTAGCACAACCAACGTCACCGAGGCAACTCAGTCCTCGAGGTCTCCCTCATGCTCACTCAGAGGAAGGAAATCCGAAAATCGCGGATTTCGTCCAGAAATGACGCACTTCCCGGAAGATTGTTTTCAGACCCCGAGTGGAGCGCAGGGAGGATGTCGAGGGGAACGCGGCTCTCTCAGCCGATTTTTCCTCCCCGTCGGCTTGCCTCTCGATGCACGGGGGGGGAGAAATTCTACCAGAGAACGAATTCCATTACGTGAGCAGGAATTTCTTGCGCTGCTGAATACGTGGAAGCATGGTGAAAATTACTGAGAGAGGATTGAGAGGATTCCTGCAAAGTTGCCAATTTATCGTTACATTCCTGCTCAATGGGTATCTGTCTTCCTAATTAATGGGCATCCTGGCTCATGGGCGATGCAACGTCTCGGTTTTATTTCTCAGCCTTTTCTGTTCCTTAATTTTATTTTTCCTGTGTCCTTGCTGATCGCTGCCTCCAAGAGTCGCAAAGAAAATATTTTTTTTTTTAAGAAAGGGAAAGGCGTTGCGTTGATTCCCGGAATTTATTCCTACCTTTGGGATGCGAGCGATACATAAATTGATAAACAATGAATGGAATAATAATCACTTTTTCCGTTCAATATAGGCACAAAGAAAGCGTAACATTTTGAAGTCGAATGTCATGCCAAGCCCATTAATATCATGGTGCAATGCAATTTCCTCGAAAGATATATTGGAAATTATTTTTTTTCGATGATGGACGGGATTTCTCTTGTGAAAAAAAAATCTAAATAAAAAATGAATGAATACAAAAATAAATATATATTAAATGTTTTAGAATCATACTCAGAGTAGATCACTGGAGAAAGTATTTACCAAGATTGCAAGAAAAAAATTCGCTTGGATGCACGAGGGGCCACGAATATCGAATGTCCGCGGAATATCGCGGAAAATCGAGAACATCGAACATCGCACCGAGGAAGGCCAGCCGCCGAAAACAGGATGGAAGCGGCTGGAGCGGGCGTTTCGCATGTTTCTTCTTCAGTTGTGAGGATGAAAAATCGTGCAGTGTCGCATTGGAGCTTCGGAGGAGACGATGACTTTTGGCTCATGGGGGGGGGGGGGGTTGGGAACATTCTCGATGTGTATCCTAAGCTACTGATCGAGGTGAAATGTTACGGCTTGCTTGGTTTTGAGCAATTTGAAATCGCAAGATGCGGCGACCACGTCTGAAAAGTTGTCGCCTCGGCCCCTACTAGTCTTCTAAGCTGCAACGCATTGCATGAAGCATGTCGAGACGAGACTGATAAAACTCCTCCTCTCAAGCTCAGGTACATCCCTGACCCACACTGTCCCGTGACCCACACTGTCCCGTGACCCACACCGCCCCACTTCCTTGCTGTTTTTCCACCTTCTGCTCTTTCCACCTTGAAGGCGAAGATACCTCGCTCGAGCGAGTCCCGCTTAACCTCGGACGGGCTCCGCCTCGGCCAAGTCTTTGCCGGAGAAGCCGGGGGTCATCACAATGTGTCACCAGATGGAATCGACTCGTCGATTGCATCTTCGGCGGTTGGTAACCTGCAGAGTGGCCGAAAAGAAAAATTCTCATTTGGATCAGTTTTGACTGAGGACAAAAGCACGAAAAATCCGATTTGCTACAGGAATCTGAAAGTCCGATTATTTCTCTATCCAGCAGTTCGAAGTCAGTTCGACGTCAGTTCGAAGTCAGTTCGAAGTCAGTTCGAACTTCTTCCTACCCTTCGTTGTGAAATGGCGACGAGCTCCCATTCGTGTCTGGGTATTTCGCGACCTCACCCACCAGTCTTGGAGATGTTGAAATCTCTGAACGCAGAATGAACAAGACCTCTATCCAATGCATGGATTACTCTCTACACTATTATGTATTATCCATGATCCTCTGCATAGCCGCTTCGGCATCGGCGTGGGGTCCGGCTGATCATCTGGAATCCATACTTGCCCTCCCATCGACCTTTACTCAGACTCGAACAGGAAGTAGCGAATCCACCGCTCTTGCTTACTGCGGTTCCTATTATCTTATGAAAAGTCCTCATGACCTAATGACCTTATGACCTTATGGCCTTGTGAAAAGTGATTAGGACCTTGGGACCTTTTTGCTCTGAAAATCGATGCATCCCCATTCATGGCGAAGTCGACTCTTCCACACTATGCATACTGAATTTTCGGGAGGAAAAGAAGGGTAAATGGCCTCACCCACCTAATGCACCAGCGGCGGCAGCGAAATGACATCGACCCCGTACCGCATCGCGTCGCTCTGCAGCCTCCGGTCCTGCGTGAAGAGCTGGATCTTCGCCGACGGGTGGTCCTCCATCAGGGCGAGGCAGTTCTTCAGGATGATATCGTCGTTCGACGCCGGTTGGAAGTAGTCGATCCAGTCGCCGTAGTTGCGCTCGAGGTCTGGAGGGGATTTTGGGGATTGGAATTTCAATTTTAAAAAGTTGTCAACATTTCTTTCTTAAATCCTCGAATTTTCATTGCCTTGCTTTCAATTTTAAAATTTTGAAGTTACCAAAGTCAAATTTCAACATGTCAAAATTTCGATTTTCAATATATGATTCTTAACATCAATCTAAATTTTCAAAGTTCTTAAATTTCAAGCATTCAAAAAAATCACAGTTGGACTCGGGAAAACCGGACGCAGCCCACCCAGGATCCTCGGATGCCTGCTGCTCAGATGCCTCCTGATGTTATTGTAAGCCCACCGTGCCTTCCGGGCCCTGCGCTCCTTATTGGACATCCTCCGGCGACGAGACGACGGGCGAGGGGAGCAGGACTGCAGGCCGCGGAGCTCCCTCAGGACTATCGACGGGATCACGACGCAGGCGTCGGAATCTGATCGAGAAGCAATATTTTCTCTGGATGGTATTGTATTTTATTACTCATATACTATCTCATATGGCATATATAGTTGTGCAAGAATCGCTGAGATGAGGTTGGTGACGCGCCAAGTTGCAACTACGCCAAGTCAATTAAAATTATATAATTTTTTTAAATATTATTATTCATTGAAATCATAAGTGAATGGATGTAACGGACATTTGGATCCACAAGGACCAACAAACCCAAGCGATTGTTCTCTTTACAAACGGATAATGGTCCGTTTAAGTTTTTCTCTTCGTTCAGTCCCGACAGCCCAATAATCGCCTCACCGGCGATGAATTTCTCGATCCTGAACCTCCGGTCGAGGAGCACGTTCGTGTCGATCACGACGTAGTTGCGGCACGACGAATCAAACTGCAAAAAGGAGGCATTCCAGTTAAATATGAAATTTAAAAGAGAAAATTGATCGAAAGGGCCTGACAAGTGAACCCTCATCAAGTCTCAGCCTCATTGCGATTGGGGCGTCTCGGTGCGGGTTCACAAATAGTCTTAGTTTTCCCTAATGTTAACCGAAAATATCGTTATTTTCTCTCTCTTCCGTGCTTGCTCTGCGCCGATGCCATCGGTTTCAGGGTGATTTTCCTCAAAAAGCCGCATGTTTAAAAAGGAAATAAATGTAAAATGCCATCTCGCCCATAGGCTTCAAAGAGAAAATCTCTCTGGACTTTCAAAATTTCTCGCCTTCTTTTTCCCACAAAGTATGTTTCCTCGTTCAGGTGTGTTTTCATTCGCGATTTCATCGCAGAGAGCCTCGCTGTCTCCCTCCGGGTTCTGAGGAGTTCTGGATTGCATTTTACCGGATCCGGAGCGGAGAGAGAGGGTTCGTGGGTTTGCTCACTTTGTCTTTGAATGGTCCTTCGTCTTCGTCGTCCTCGGCTTCATCGTATTCGTAGCCGTCGTCCTCGCCATCACCGTCCTCGCCTTCGTAACCAATGTCGTTCCGCGGGTGGGGGGTGGGAACAGACTGAAAGAGAGTTCGATCTGATAAGATCAATAGACATTACCGAGCGAATTGGAATTCATTGCCTCTGCAAGATGAAAATGTGAGACTTTTCTACCTGGAAGGAGACTATTGGACAAGGAAAACAAAATGCTCAGGCTCATGTTCCAGGACACTCTCATTTTGCATGCCATTTTATATAGTAAATAATGAGTCTTAAAATTCAGCCATGTCTTTTGAGCTGACGCGCGAACCTCCAGATATGGTATTAATATGAAAGATAGAACTCGAACCAACTCGAGTCGTTTGATGTTCGAGGACTAACCAATCATAACATGTTCATTCTATGATAGATGACGGACCCTGGAAGAGTAGAAGGAAAAACTGCCATCGCAACGATATCAGATAGAAAAGACGTCCATTTCCTGCGTGAAAATGTGCATATACAAGCAAATACGCGAGAGCCAATGTCCTGATCGGAGTCGTCAGGCAACTGCTTGATGCGGCAGAACGGGATCTGTCATGGCGCCGACCGTACGTACCCGCATGGGAGAGACCCGAGTGCTTCCCGACATCCCGCGGGACACGCGGGCCCCCTCCCCCCTCCCCCCTTCATAGAATCAGACGAACGTGGCAGTTCGGAGAATGACTAAACCGATTGATAGGAGGCGGGGCAGGGCGCATCACCCCGTCATGAAGGCATTTCGCATGCATGCAATGTATACTCTCGATGGCATTGACGGGTGAAGTCGTGCAGACGCATGTTCAGCTCTTCCGAGAATTTCGATGGCTGAGGAGAAAAACTAGTCACGAGGAAATGTTGCTCCGTGATTTATTACTCCGTGACTGATTCACTCCTTAAATATTAATCATAATCCATGGGTTTCTGCAATTTCGTGAGGACGAGAAATAAAAAAGTTCCCTTTCGGAACACTTACACGTGCAGACCAGGATGGGACAATGCTGCTCACGTCGGTGTTGATCACATCAGTGTTGTTCTCGTCGGTTCGAGGAATTTCTGCTCTGTTTCGGATATCCTCGATTTCCTGCGATGGAAATGATGGAGGCAGGCAAGGGGAAAGAAAACTATAGCAAAGTATCGCACATGTTCTTGATGAAAACTTTGCTTTTTATATTTCGCTAAGCAATTGATGCCTTCTCTGCAATACTTGTTAAAACTCCCCTTTTGACAAACGAGAAGTTTTTGCTCAGATACGATTCAATCATATCCTCCTGAATTCTGACTACCTTACTTGTAATTTTCAATTTCGTGCTTTCTGAAGACAGTTTGAAAATCGTTTTTGTTTTTTTTTCTTTCAGTAATAGAGCCTGGTATGTCTTTAAACAGATATTTGCACCGCTGCATTAATTGTCACGCTATATGAAGCATAGAACAGATATTCAAAATGCTAAGACATCTCGACACGGGATTGAGGAGAATGTGTATAGGTAGCGACATATTGAACACAGCGATTCGACCATCCATTTCCTCAAATCTGGTCAATTCCAAAACCCGGGAAAGAGAAAAAAGGTCAACCCACCTGCGAGTCATCGTCCTCGGAACAGCTACAGCAGCATCCCATGATGATAAACTCCTGGATCACTCCAATAGGCTACAAGGCATCTTTCCCCGTTCGTCTAAAAGATGCAAGGAGAAAATGCACGTGCCTCTGCCCATCCACTGCTGCAAGCAGACGATGACTAGGCTACTTCGATCTCTCGGCGTGAGAGAGGTCGTCTGCTTGCGCCTCTGATTGGCTCCGGTGTGGGAGGCGTTGTCTGCTTGCGCCTCTGATTGGCTCCCCCGAGGTGGGTCTGATGACCTCGCAGAAGGGAGGAAAGAGTCGTCAGCGACGAGATCTGGTTTCTCGCACTTAGATTCTCTCTGAGTGGCAGCACTGACAAAGCCGTTTCGTATCGTGGTTGATTTCCTCCGTGATCGAGAGTTGAAGGCTCTTGTTCTCCGATATCAAGAACGTTTGGGCTTTTGTTCTGTCGTTTTCACACACATCTCGACCGACACACTTGAGCTTTGGTCAACCATTCATCGCACCATCAAGCATCGCATCAAGCTGGTGGAAGGGTGGACACTACAAATCAAAGCTCATGATTCCACGCATACTCTTAAACAGGTTCATTAATCCTTGAAATTTCAAGACCATGGGATTCGGGTGCACCTGAAGATACCCATTCAAATTTCCGAATCCTTGAACAGCGCCTAGGAATACCATACTTAAAAATGACCTTACGTCTCTCTCATCCTGATAAACACCTTCCCCATCGGCATTTATGCAAGAAATTACTTTGAATTATGGACGACATGGAGCAACCATGCCGGACCTAGGAATTAGCAGGGTTTCCACATTTCTTTGCATTTCTCATCTTAGAGACTCCCTGAAAATCCCGCCAGTCGGACGGGTCGCCGATTCCAAAAAAAAAGGGAAAGATTATCACAGTGTATCCGCAACAAAATCGGTTGCTGCTGCGTCCCGCGTTAAGACGTGTACGTTAGATAACGTTAGATGCTACTCTTGCAAGCTCAAAAGACCCTGCAAATTCCTTTATCTGGAGGGAGTGGCTTGTGGCAATAGGAAAGAACAGTTTTTTTCCGACAATGCCGACCCGTCCTACACTCGTAGAAAAAGGGAAGCTATTTTTCTCAAAAAGGAGAGTAAAATCGCTAACTCCAGTTTCACTGCCCTTTCACTCAGGGAAAGGAGCGAATTTGCTCCATCACCAAGGAGTAACATTGCTCTCCTCCTCCATGAGTTAAAACCTCCCCTCAGAAAAAGATAGGGATGTTATGCAAATAGGCAAATCCTCATATATACTTTGTGCCGCTTTCGCTCTCGTACAGTACAGATGTTTGCCTACCTCTGACTGCACTGATTACAGTACATGTCAGAGGATGGACCACCTCCTACGGTTCCATGAAGTGTCCGCGATATCAGTCCGTCATTTCCTCATTCTCACATCAAGTTGAGGAAGTGATAGGATAGAGTTCATGGACACCCACTTTGCATTCTAGATCTCCTCTGCGGAAAAACCATTGCGAGTTTCAAAAGGTTTCTCATCAGGAATATGAGCTTGTTTATGGCTTGGGCTCCATAAATCTGTCTTGAATATTTGGATAAAAAATGATGGAAAGTCCGTGTTTATCGATTCCTATAATGAAACTAGGCGAGACATATGTCGAGCTACAAAACAATCCTGCGAGGGACGATTCCTGAGAAAAAGGGAAGGGAACTTTTGTTTACTGTGCGAAAAGCGAGACCCCTACCTCCATCTAGTGGCCTGGCGAAGAACTTCAAGATGTTCACTTCACTGCGAGCGATGAAGGAGCATTTAAGCGAGACCCTTACCTCCATCTAGTGGCCTGGCGAAGAACTTCAAGATGTTCACTTCACTGCGAGCGATGAAGGAGCATTTGGCGAGTAATAAGAGAGTATATTTGAAATATTGATAGCTCACGTGGTGCTCAGTTTTTATTACCTAAACGCTTGGAATTTTCGAAGAGTGTACTGTCTCCGACTGCCGTAGAACAGCAATTTCTCGCTCGTTCCTCTTCGTGCAAGTAGTTCCCCAAACGTCTTTTTATGTTTTCGAAGATCGACACTGTTTTCATTCGCCTGCAAAATGCAATCTTTTACCAGATGAGTCCATCGTGAATCAGCTGAAAGGGTAGCCCGATTGATTCAGAGCAGTGTTTTCATGTAATTCTGTGTTTGGAAACATCGATATCAAAATGGGATATATATTTTTAAAGGCCTCTAAATCGATTGAAGATTTATTTTCTTTACATGCTTCTAGAAATTTTATCATATTGTTTTATCCGGGAACTGCCTACCATTAATTTCACCAAAGAAATGTTTGAGATTGAAGTGATCAAAGATCACAGAATTTAAAGTTTTAACTCCTTGATCTGTCTAGTTATTGTAAACATACAAATGTCTCTGTTGGCTTTTGGATGGAACTTGATAATTGAACTCTAATGTCTTGTTTTTAATGTAATATTTCATATACAGTAATTGCATTCCATTTCAATTTGAAAGCAATTTTTTTTAGCAACATCATTCTCAAGTCTATTGGTTTTCAAGAAGGTTTCACTTGAGGAACCAGCCATTCCATTTTATCCATAACGAACGTTCCATCTGGTTCATAGTTTGATTTACAGATCATTCTTTCGTTTTTATTTAAAGTCATTGTGGTTCGATGCTTTACTCCTCTGAAAACGCTGAATCTATCACAAAACGAAAGAAAAATCTATGAAGTAGTAAAAGCCAGTACACCTATCATATATTTTCTTTGAGAACTCTCTCGCTTTCTATGTTTCTTTCTTGTTATTTGCCAATAATACCACGAGGATCATCTTTATCAAAAGGAGGCACAAGTATCCACGGATACTTGTGCATCCGTGTATCACAAGTATCCACGGAACTGTTATACTTCCATCATGAGCTTCAGGAAACCATCATTGCATGTGTCGAATATTCGTAATATTATCACGATCTGTAAATTCTCTAAAGTAATTAATAAAATTTCCAATACCAACGATTCTTAAATATTCAATTTCATTATCGTCAATAAAATATCGTTCTTCTTTAAACTAATGAAGCTATTAGTTAAAACAACTTTTTCTAAGTGAGTATATCCGATTCAATTTTCTTCACTTAATCTACCTTCATTCCTCAAGTAAGGTTTACAGGACAATAACAAATGGTCTTCATTAGGAGTAGAAGAGCTAAAATCTATTGCTGTATCCAGACTTCCAGAAGCATGAAAGTTTTCATAACTTTTTCATATTCGTGCTCTTCTATTTATTTATCTTCTAATGGTATGAGGAAGTCCCATATAGAGATCTCAATTTCAGAAAGAAGTGCTTTCATGACTTTTAAAAGGAAATTCCAATGAAACAGGTTCTGAGAATTCAAATAGATTTTTAAATTTCATTTTACTTTAAGGCACAAAGAAAGCGTATCATTTTGAAATCGAATGTCATGCCATGCCCATTAATATCACATTGCAATGCATTCTCCTTGAAAGATATGCTGGAATTTTTTTCAATGACGGACAGGATTTCTCTTGCGAAAAATCTAAAAAAAAAAACAATGCATGAATATAAAAATGAATATTTTGTAGAATCAAACTCAGTGGAGATCACTGAAGAATATGCACCTAGGTAAAAAAAAAATAATGCGCGTGGATGCACGAGGGGCCACGAACATCGGATGTTCGCGGAATTTTGAGGAACGCAAATTTCGCGGAACATTTTCGCTCGTACCGAGGAAGGCCAGCCACCAAGAACGGGATGGAAGCGGTTGCAGCTGGAGCCGGGGCGGGGGACGCGAAGGCGTCCAACGCGTGGCGTGCACACGTCGGGTGCGGACCGCAGACGCTTCCATGTGTTCTTCGGGGTATGGCTTTTGGGGGGGGTGGGGGGGGGGCTGGTTTGGGGGGGGGGGGGGGGGGAGGGGGCTGGTTTTGTGGGGGGGGGGGCTGGTGGCATACGGTTTTTTTGGGGGCGTGGCAGCTCGTGTGTTCACGCGCTTCGCTTGTACATTGTACATTTGTGAGGAAGAGAAATTGTACATTATCGCATTGTAACTTTAGAAGGACAGGACGCGAATGGATTCAACTGGGAGAACATTCTCAATGTGTATCCTAAGCTTCTAATCAAAATTGAAACGTTACAGCTTGCTTTGTTTTGAGCATTTTGGAACCGCGAGATGCGGCGGCCGCGTCCGACAATTTGTCGGCTCGGCTTTAACAAGTCTTCCTGGCCGCACCACACCGCATGAAGCATGTCGAGACGAGAATGATGAAACTCCCCTTCTTAACCTCAAGAGCACCCCTGCCCCACATAGCGTTGTGACCCACAATTCGCCGTGACACGCACCGCGCCGTGACCCACGTCACTCCACTTCCTTGCCGATTTTCCACCTTCTGCTCTTTCCACCTTCTGCTCTTTCCACCTTGATCGTTTCGTCGGTGAGGGCACCTCGCGTGTACTGCTCATCTTTGGACGTGCGCTGTCCCAACCAAGTCTTTTTGGAGAAGCACTGAGGGCCATCACTACATGTCGCCCGATGGAATCGACTGGCCGATTCCATCTTCAAGGGTTGACAATCTACAGGGTGGCCAAAGAAGTAAAATATCTTATTTTGGTCGGTTATAATTCAGAACAAAAACACGAGAAACCAGATTTGCAAAAAGAATCTGAAAGTCCGATTCTCTATCCAGTAGTTTGAAGTCAGTTCAAAGTCAGTTTGAAGTCAGTTCAAAGTCAGTTTGAAGTCAGTTCAAAGTCAGTTTGAAGTCAGTTCAAAGTCAGTTTGAAGTCAGTTCAAAGTCAGTTTGAAGTCAGTTCAAAGTCAATTTGAAGTCAGTTTGAAGTCAGTTCGAACTCCCTCGTACCCCTCCTTGAGGAATGGCGACCTGCTCCCATTCGAATCTGTGCATTTCGCTACCCCACCTACGAGTCTTAGTGATGTTGAAATCTCTGAACGCAGAATGATCTAGACTTCCACCGAATGCATGGCGTATTCTCTGCACACTTATGCATTATATATCTTCCGCAGAGCTGCTTCGACGCCCGGGGTGGCGTTCTGCCGATCACTTGATCCTTGCCCTTGAAATGTAGTGAATCCAACGCTCTTGCCCATTTCTGTGGTTCCGATTGTCTCATGAAGAGACCTAATGACCTTACGAATGACCTTATGACTTTGAGAAACATGATGAAGGCCAATTTCTTCTGAAAATCGATGCAACCCCTTATATTGTGATGCCGACTCGTAAAAAGGGCCTCACGAAGGAAGGCTAAAAGGCCTCACCCACCTAATGCACCAGCGGCGGCAGCGAAATGACCTGGACCGCGTACGACGACGCGTCGTCTTGCAGCCTCTTGTCCTGCGTGAAGAGCTGGACCTTCGACGACGGGTAGTCCTCCATCAGGGCGAGGCAGTTCTGCAGGATGACGTCGTCGTTCGACTCCGGTTGGAAGTAGTCGATCCAGTCGCCATAGTCACCCTCGAGGCCTGGAGGGGATTTCAAAGATTGGAATTTCGAGTTCCAAAAGTGTCAAAATTCTCAAGTTAAAATCTCGCAATTTCACATTTAAACATTTCAAATGTCTTGCTTTCGATTTCAAAATTTTGAAGCTTCAAATGTTAAATTTTCCATTTTTAAATTCGAAAATTTGAAGACGTCACACTTTAAATGTGAAATGTAAATATTTTAAGCTTCAAAAGTTGACATTTGAATTTTTACGTTTCAAGCATTCAAAAAATCACGGTTAGGCTTGGAAAAGCCGGACGCAGCCCACCCAGAACCCTCGGATGCCCTTTGCTCAGATGCCTCCTGATGCTATTGTAGGCCCACCGGGCCCTCCGGGCCCTGCGCTCCTTCCAGGACTTCCTCCGGCGGTGAGACGACGGGTGGGGGGCGCAGGACTGCAGGCCGCGGAGCTCCTTCATGACTATCGACGGTATCACGACGCAGGCGTCGGAATCTGATCGAAAATCGACAGGTTTTCAGGATGGTATTATGTATTATATAGGGTGCATACTATACATAACTTATATGGTTATGCTGAGTTGATGCGCATAGTTGTTGTCGCTTGAGGGCCAATTTAAAATGCATACTTTTTTAATTCATAAATAAATAGATACAATGAATATTTTGATCCACGAGGACCAACAAACTCAAGCGACTGATTTCTTTACAAACGGAAAAAATTCGACTTCAGTTTTTATTTTGTTACTTCGGCCAATCACGAGTGCACAACAATCGTCTCACCGGCGATGAATTTTTCGATCTTGAACCTCCGGTCGAAGAGCACGTTCGTGTCGATCACGACGTAGTTGCTGAAGGACGAATCATGCTGCAAAAAGGAGACATTTAAGTTAAATTTGAAATTTGAAAAAGAAAATTGATCGAAAGGACATGACAAGTGTTGACTCCTCGAGTGAACCCTCAAGTGAACCCTCCTCGAGTGAACCCTCGAGTGAACCCTCCTCGAGTGAACTCCTACAGCCTCGAGCCGGTTGGGCCGCCTTGGTGTGACAGCACTAATAGTCTCAATTTTCCTTACGATGATCGATTATATCGTAATTTTCTCCCTCATTCCCACTTACTCTGCGCCGATGCCATCGATTTCCTGGAGACTTTCCTCATGAAGCATTAAGTTGAAGAAAGAAATTAACTGCCCATTGGCTTCAAAGAGATAATATCTCTTGATTTTCAATATTGCGCGCCGTCTTTTTTCCCTACGGATGTATTTCCTCATTCAAGTTTGTTTTTCATTCACGAAGTCCCCATCCCAGGAAGCCTCGTTGCATCGAACTTCAAAACTCCCTCGGAGTTCTGGGCGATTCCAGAGTGCATTTTTCCGGATCCGAAGCAGAGAAAGTTCGTTGGTGGATTTGCTCACTTCGTCCTCGTCTTCCTCGTCCTCGGCTTCGTCGTCCTCGGCTTCGTCGTCCTCGTCTTCGTCGTCCTCGTCTTCGGCTTCGTCGTCCTCGTCTTCGTCGTTTTCGTATTCATCGTCCTCGTCTTCCTCGTATTCAGCTTCATCGTAACCCTCGTCTCTCCGCAGGCGAGGAGTGGGAACAGGCTAGGAAAATTTTCGATCGGATGAGATCAATCGACATTTCCGATAGAAATAAAAATCAGACCCTCTGCGAGATTAAATGTGAAAATTTTAAACTCCCAATAAAACTATTGACGAAGGAAAACGAAAACCTCATGTTTACGCTCCGTGTCGCACTCGTTTCGCATGTCATTTTATAATGCGAATAACGAGTCTCAAAATTCAGCCATGTCTTTTGAGCTGACATGCAAACCTCCAGGTATAGTATTAACACGATAGAACAAACTCGAAGCGACTTGAGTCGTTTGATGTTCGAGGGCTAACCATTCGCAACATTTCATACTGTGATAAATGACAGATCCTACAAGAGTGGAGGGAAAAGCAGCCATCGCAACGGTGCCAGATAAGAGAAGGCACCTATTTCCTGCATGAAAGTGCGCATCAGCAGGCATAGATACGGAGGGCCAATGTCCTGATCGGAGTCGTCAGGCCACTACTCGATGCGGCAGCGCGGGATCTGTCATGGCGCCGACCGTTCCGACCCGCACGAGAGAGCCCAGTGCTTCCCGACATCCCGCGGGACTCGAGGGCCCCCTCCACCGACTCATGCAAGTGGAAATTCGAAGAATGCGCGATTGATGGGAAGCGATGCCGCGCACATCGTCGTGCGGATCTCCCGTCATGAAGGCATTTCGCATGCATGCAACATGCAATGCATACTCTCGATGGCATTGACGGGTGAAATCGTGCAGACGCATGTTCAGCTCTTCCGAGAATTTCCCTGACTGAGGAGGAAAACCGCTCACGAGGAAATGGGTCTCCGTGATTTATTACTCAGTGACTGATTTACTTTTAGAATCTTAATCCATGGAATTCTGCAATCTCGTGAGGACGGGAAATAAAAAAGTTCCCTTTCCTAACACTTACACGTACAGGCGAGGATGGGACAATGCTCTTGACGTCGGTGCTGATCACATCAGTCTTGTTCTCGTCGGTTCGAGGAATTTCTGCTCTGTTTTGGATATCCTCGATTCCCTGCGACGGAAATGATGCAGGCGGAAAAGGGGTTAGAAAACTTTAGCAAACAATCGCACATGTTCTTTACGAAAAATGTGGTTATACTGAGCTACACAATTAAGCCTTCTCTACGTGTTAAGTTCCACTCTTGACCAACGAGAACTTTTTGCTCAGCTGCGATTCGAACTTATCCTCCTGAATCCCGACTACTTTACTTGTAATTTTTAATTTCGTGTTTTTTTTAAGTCAGTTTGAAAACCGTTTTCCATTTTTTTTCATTCGTTAACAGAACATGGGATGTCTTGAAACCGATACACCGTTGAGCATAGAACCGTTATTCAAAATGTCCAGATATCTCGACACAGAATTGAGGAGGGTATGTAGAGATAGCGACTTATTGAGCACAGCGATTCGACAATCAATTTCCTGGAAACTGAAAAATCTCAAGTCCCAAGATAGAGAGAAAAGGCCAACCCACCTGCGACTCATCGTTCTTGGAACAGCTACAGCAGCATCCCATGATGATAAACTCCTGGATCACTCCAATAGGCTACAAGGCATCTTTCCCCGTTCGTCTAAAAGATGCAAGGAGAAAATGCACGTGTCTCTGCCCATCCACTGCTGCAAGCAGACGATGACTAGGCTACTTCGATCTCTCGGCGTGAGAGAGGTCGTCTGCTTGCGCCTCTGATTGGCTTCGGTGTGGGGGGCGTTGTCTGCTTGCGTCTCTAATTGGCTCCCCCGAGGTGGGTCTGGTGACCTCGCAGAAGGGAGGAAAGAGTCGCCAGCGACGAGATCTGGTTTCTGGCACTTAGATTCTCTCTGAGTGACAGCGCCGACAAAGCCGTTTCGTATCGTGGTTGATTTCCTCCGTGATCGAGAGTTGAATGCTATTTTTGGCCAACTATCACGAACGTTTGGGCTTTTGTTGTGTTGTTTTCACACATCTCGACCGACACACTTGAGCTTTGGTCAGCTATTCATCGCACCATCAAGCTGATCGAAGGTGCGCTCTGCAAATCAAAACTCATGCTTTCGCGCCTACTTTTCAACAGGTTCACCTCATACCTGAAATTTTAAGACCATGGGATTCAGGGTACCTGAAGATACCCATCCAAATTTCAGAATCCTTGAACAGCGCCAAGGAATACGATGCTCAAAAATGCCCTTAAGTCTTTTTCATTCTCATAACCATCTTACCCATCGGCATTTACGCGGCAAATTACTTTAAATTATGGAGGAATTGGAGCAGCCAAGCCGAAGCTCGGAACTTAGCAAGGTTCCGAAATTTCTTTGCATTTATCATATTTGAGACCCGCAGAAAATCCCTCCAGGCGGCCGGGTCACAGATTCAGAAACAAATAAAAGAGATTATCCCAGTGTATCTGCTAGATTTGTTGCTGCAGCGTCCCGCGTTACGTTACGTTACTACAGATTGTAGATGCCACTCTTGCCAGCTCAAAAGGTCCCTCAAATTCCTTTATCTGGAGGGAGTGGCTTGTGGCAATAAGAAAGAACAGCTTTTCCCACATTGCTTTGGTGTCCTACTGATCAGTCCGACTGCTGCAGGGGAGCAATTTATCGCACGTTCCTCTTCTTGAAAGAAGTTCCTCAAACGTCTTTTCGTGCTTTCGACGATTGACATTGTCCTCATTCGCCTGCAAAATTCAATCTTTAACTGGATGAATCCATCGTGGATCAGGTGAAAGCGCTACCGGATTGACTCTCTGCCTCTCCAGGAGAAGCGAAGGAGAATATTTAACCCTTCGACTCCCGTTCCTGGGTCCAATGGAGCCTCAATCAAGAATTTCGTCTTTGGTGTGGGCTGCGCTGTGAACATGTTAAGTCCGATTCTCCACGTGTTTTCATGAAGACATCTGATAATGACTATGTACAGCATTTTGAGATTCTTTTGGAATAAAAAGACGGAAAAAAGAGTTAATCATATGACCATCCGGCTTCTGGTAGTCCCGTGGTGAAACGAGAAGCGTCGCGCCTGACCCCCAGCCCCCATGTCGAATGGAGTCCCATCCCTTCACAAAGCGATCTGCTCACCCGGTCGCTCTTCCTCGGTGCACGCCGTGGAAGGAAGCGGTCACATCCCGACTTCCTCCATTCTGGGTGCGGCTCCGATTTGGAGGAGCCCCGTTCTGCTACTCGGAGTTTTGATTGTTGGTGTCCCCCTGGTCGGTGTCTCGGTGGTTGGTGTCCCCCTGGTCGGTGTCCCGAGCTCACGGCTGGAGTTCCAGTTCGGTCGCGGCACTGAATCTTCGTTCGTATCTTCGTTCTGCCGGCTGGTCTAGGGTGAGCCTCTGAGGAACTTATCTATTAAAAAAAGAAAAGTTCAATTTTTCGCACGTGCAGTCCAGATAAGGGTTATCTTCGCACTCTTCAATCTCGTGTCGATGGGCTCTAAGGCTGTAAAATGTCTCGAGGACGTTTTAAGCTGTTTGCCAACATAAAGATGCCGGTTCACGTCGGAATGAGATTCTTACCTCTGGAAAATTGTCAACTGATAAAATATATATCAGTTCCTGACAAAAGCAAATAACTTTTATATTTGATCTTTTGCTTTATTTGTAAAACAAAAACAAAACATGTTATCGTAAGGGTGTCGACTTTCATGCGGCAGAAATTTTCTCCGGCACTACGTACGAGGATTGACAATTTAATATCAAGACTGGCAACACTGCACCGCTCCTACCGGCTGTATCGCGAGCTTATGTAGGAAACAGATTACGGAGGGGAAATTTCAGTCCCATGCTCTGTTTGTGTTACAAGTATTCGTTTCGACTGTTGTACCGTTCGTTGCGATGGAGATTGGTTTCATCGCTGCGATCCCAAAGCGGTTGCTTCCCGTGAAATTTCTGGAGAAATCCCGCGGAACCTGTAAAACATTTGTAGATGGAAAGGACCCGTAAATCAACGAGTCTAACCGGTATGTTGGTCTTCGACGTCCGGGCATTTTGCTGACAAATGCCGCGAAACCTGGAACCGCAACCACGGCTGAGGTGCTTGCAGACCTTAGCTAAGAAACTGGGCTAAGCAAGCCCTTTCAAATAGATCCACCGGAGTCGAAAGGCTGGTGGATGACGGGGTTTAGGAGGTGGATTTGGAACCAGGTGGACAACCGTGAGGATGCCACGGCATGCTCGTTCCCCTGACGCGAATGGACCGGAGAGCGAAGCTGAGAGGAAACCGATTTTACGAGAACCGATTTTATGTTCCTGATTTCCGACAGAAATAATGATGATCCATAGTTTTTCCTTTTGCTTTGGAAATTCATATCGTGAATTTATAGGACGTTACCCCACAGATTTCCCTCTTCAGACCTTGAAATGGGAAAACCATGCTTCCAATGAAGAGAAAGTGAGCCTCAAGGTGCTATTCAAGCCAACAGATTTCCATCCCTGAACGCCATGCTCCAGAAGAAGAGAGTCGGGAAGTGCGTCTGAGGAATGACCGCTGATGGCCTCCTGACGGATGCCCGGAACGGAGAGAACGACCGCTGATGGCCTTCTGCCAGGAACGGAGAGAGCGACCGCTGATGGCCTTCTGGCCGGCGGAGAAGGACGACTGAGACCGGATGAGCGAATCTGTGTCTGCGCGATCCGTCGAGAGTTCGACTGAAAATGGGGTTCGGGAGGACTGGTGGCGCTGAATCAACTTAACGTTGAATCAATAGCAAAATCGATTTCGCTGTAACGTACTGGAGGAAGGAAGGAAGGAACATGGGGGAGGAAGGGATGAGGCTCAAGGGTATTACAGTCGGATGGCAAGACGCCTGACGCGGGAGCTTCTAAGCTGGTTTGAAAACACCAGGTTCACTTATCCCAGCGAATGTGCTGCCTTGAATCAACTGTGATTTCATGTTGACTTAATGTTATGGGCTATAAGGGGCTGCTTCACGATTGGCCGATTTTGCGAAAAAAAATGCTGTGGCTTAAAAATAACGGGGCCGACGATCGAGAGTTAGGAGCAACATCGTAGAGCTTTTCTAATCGTTCGAAGTGATAGTTGCGCCTTTGCAGCAGTCGGACTGGTCGATACTGTCGGACGACTCTCTTCGTACGGTCGCGGTGGCGCGAAAGGATTGCCAGGTTGGATGCAATGTCCCAGTAGCGCCTGTGCGGGGTTGTCTGTAGAGTTGCAGCGAGCGCCAGCTTCTATTGCGTCCTGTTTCCCCGAGATGCAGAGCTGGAAGAGCGCGGTGAAAGGGGAGGGCGGTCGCAAGGCGAGCAATAGCATGTACGTGTGGTTGGGACCCGCGGGAAGTGCTCGTGGATCGCGCAGGCGGTCGCTCCCTCGTCTCACTCCTCCGGGCAGAAGGCCGTCAGCGGTCACTCTCTCTCTGCTCCGGGCATCCGTCGGAAGGCCATCAGCGGTCATTCTTTTTGCTCTGCTCTGGAATGGAGACGCCGACTGGATTTTGCAGTCTTCCGCGGCTTTGACACCCTCCTGTCCTTGTTCTATCGACTGATCTCTCGCGAGCCTCTTAGGAACTTATCTACTTTCGAAAATCCTGGTCCAGAAGCAAAGAGCCTCCCCCCCACCCAGATAAGAGTTATACAGGGTGGCCGAAAAGTCACCGTACCCCTATCTTCATTTTCATATATTTCGTGAACAGAGATCTAAAAATATCCGTGTGCACATCTCACATGCCCGGTCAACCCAGCAGTGCGTGGGCCTAGCGCGAAACGGCGCATGCGCGACCGACTAGGCGACTTCTGCGACAGCTCGCCAGAATTCAGCTTTGACGGTTAACCATGGCGGACACCAGTAGCTACACCATTGAGAAGCCTTTAGTGGCGAGTGTGTGGGTGCATGAAAGACAGCACACCGGACAGGTGATGACCAGGTCCGTGTCGACTTTGGTGGTGAATGTGCAATGGGGACGGGAACAGTGGCACACGTGTCTACTCGGGTTATCGGCCGACCGCTTCACGGGATGTCCTTCACACTGCCGAGGGAAAACGCTCGTGTTTCCCATGCTAATAATGTTGCTTCACGCAGAAGTGGCTTTCCAAATCGTGCATAGAACGCTGCCTAGTCACCTAGTCCATCACCTGTCCGGTGTGCTGTCTTTCATGCACCCACACACTCGCCACTAAGCGCTCCTCAATGGTGTAGCTACTGCTGTTCGCCATTGTTACCGCCATTTTCTGAATTCTGCTGAGCTGTCGCAGAAGTCGCCTAGCCGGTCGCGCATGCACCGTTTCGCGCCAGGCTCACGCACCGTTGTTATTGAGCGGTCATGTGGGATGTGCAACGGGTATTTTTAGATCTCTATTCATGAAATATATGAAAAGGTAGATGGGGGTACGGTGACTTTTCGGCCACCCTGTACATGTCTTCAGCCTTGCTTCTACAAGTTTAAGACGTATGAAGCAATCCAAATGCCATAGAAGCGTTTTAAGCCATCGTTTATGGCTGCTTGCTTAAAAATGTTAAAAATGTCAGTTCACGACACAGAATATACTCTGGATAATGTCCCTTCAACTAGTCAGTACTGGACAGCAGCTGACTGTTTCTAGGTTGACGTATCGGCTCTAGAGGTTGAACTACTCTTTTGCTAGGTGGATCAGCGCAAAACAAGTCTTAAATTTTAATCAGGAAATTCCTCAGTTTTCGCACGACAGAATGACCTGAGAAAGTTCAAGCCAAGATGGAATTCTAGCTGGCACCAGCAAGATTTCGATCTGTTTGCCTCAAAATTAGTTACAACCTTCAGGAAGAATTCAAGAATCGAGAAGAACTTCCTGGTGGGATCTAGTTGGAGTTTGCTGCTGCATCGAGGTTAGCATGATTTGTTCTTCGATTTCCAATAAAATTTTCCAAAATCTGTAATTATCTGCTGCTTCTTCTTGTGGACTTCATTGCGGACATGGTGCCTTTTTTCTGCGCGGGACAGACGGCTCTGGCGGCCTTCCGAACCGTGCCCCGTTAGCCATCACATAGCATACAGAGATAGAGCTCTACACGGGACAAGAATAGGCGGGACGGCGATGTCGGAGAGGGGAGAAGCGGGAAGAAGCGGGAAGCGGGAAGCGGGACGGGATGGCGTTTTTCGCCCCGTGCAGGGCCTCGGTCGGGTATCGCCTCGCTGGGTGTATTCGACTTACTTCGATCTCGGCACTCGATAGGTATTATATTGGTATATGCGCAGTTGTGAAATACCTCTTATTACGAATTCGTACTTGAAAGATACGGTCTTTGTTGTTTCATTCGAGTAGGCCTACAGAATGCATGTTTCTTTCGAAGATAGTACGAAGGGATGAGGATATCTCACAGAATATGAGTGGAAGAAGAAAAATTCGCCATTTCTGCTCTTGAGCCATCCCATCCATTCTCCCCCATCATTCGGCTTCAAATTCGCATTTTGGTTTTTGATGACGAGCCGACAAAAACGTAATATCTTACAGGGGTCAAATCCAAGGAATTCATGGCATTAATTCCTGCTGGACGCCTGCAAATCCCGCGGGGAAACTAAGTTGCTTCATTTTTTTATTTAAAAAAAAAATTCTACTTTTCTCATCTTCATCTGCAGTCGGCAGTATCTCTCGCACTATTGCGGAAAATATCCGCTACGAACAGCAGAAACATTTTCCTTGGGATCCTCAAAAACAGGGCAACTCCTGCTTACTCTACGATCGTCAGCGATTCGTTGCCGGCGGGCGAGGCCAAGCCGAGAAAACACGATCGACTCGAGATTGACTCAGGCCTGACCATACCGGAGAGTTTCTGCGAATCGATTCCTCTGCGGCAGACGACGTGAGGGGCGACGAGGCTTCAGCGCCTCTAGGAACACACTAAAGCTCTTTTTGCGTCCGGATGCTGGCATCAGCAGGCGCGATCATTCACTTCACACCGCAGCACACCGCAGCACACAGCTTCACATCTTGCGTCTGCACTCGCGAGCGCCCGAATGAGAGCACTTGCTTCGCGTCTTCTTTCCTCTTGGATGTCGCGTCGGGTGATGCTCAGCAGTGATGCTGGATGCTGGATGTCGCGTGCGTGTTCCACGTCGGGGGTTTACACGTGTCGATGCACTCGCGTGCATCCGACGTGGTTGTCAGATCCGATCGGGTGTCGGATCTGACAACCGAGGTCATACATTTCGGGCATCTGGTATCTCTGGCAATATCGCGGATGACGAATCGGCTCATAAAAGTTGCGACATCCAGCCCCAGTGTTCATCTTCGAAGTCTTTTATTCTGTTCTTCGCGTCTTACAGGAAAAAAAAAAATTAGCAAATTTTTTGCTTCTGCGGCGTCAGTTTTCGCATCATAGACAAAAGCGCCTCGCAAGCATTCTCGGTCTCTTTGTCTTCTAATTTGATTTTCGCCGACTTCGATAAGACGTCTTCGAGCATCTTCCACCTCGTTTCTTCCAAATCGAGCAAATGCTTGCCGATCCTGTTCATCCTTCACCGACTATATTTAACTCCAGAATTATTTTTGGCCAAAGGCAAAGAAGCAAATTTCGCATTCCAATCCTGAAATTGTCTTCGCGATATACCTCATTTTTTAATAATTATCTTGATAATAATTACCTTGATAATAATTATCTTGATAATAATTATCTTGATAATAATAACCTATATCTTCCTACGAGGAAATGAAAAGAAATTTTATCTGACAGATAAATCGCATCAACGATTCCTAGCTCTTAGAAGCGCGCCATCCTGCAACCTCTCAAGGCAAGGTTCTGGCAACCGGGGCGAGATGGCGCCTCCATCGCCGCGGGGGCTATTCCCCTCTTGAATCGGGTGTTAGAAGTCCCCAGCCTTTTCGTGTGTGGCATCTAGTATTTTCTCCTGGCAGAACTTATGGGATTGCATTCATTTTAATTAAATTCTTTATATATTTAAATCCTGTAAAGGAAAAAATTCTAAATAAATGAAAAAAATTCTAAACAAATGAAAAAAAAATTCCATCTTTCCGTTTATTTTCCTAAATATCTCAATCCAGTTCAAGGAGACTCAGGTTTTAATTCTGGAGTGGATACTTGCAGATTCTTGGCTGGCATTCGTCGGCATTCATAAAAGCACGTCTCAGGAAACGCCGTTGGAATGGCCGATCGCTTCAAGGATGCAATGAGTCGCGTCTTCCGAACATCCTCGATACGATTCCAGAATTTTTAAAAGTCTGCGGAAAAAAAGGACGAATTTTTGACAATTTCCTGATATACCTCACAGTCATTTTGCCATGACATGGTCGCATGTCATGGTCGCATGATATGGTCACGTGTTCGCTACGTCGCATTCCACGCCACCAATCTTTTTCCGCCGAACGACGGGTTCCCCATGTGGCCGCAAGATGTCTCTGCCATCGAGACACGACTCATCATGTGTGATCTGGTCCATTCCGATCTTAATTCGTACCTGAAATCCCGTCTCTGTACTTCGGTACTGTTTTTTAGACGGAACGGTGTGAGGAAAGGATTTTCAAATTTTCGATTTTTTTTTTTTTCCTCAGCTGTCTTCCGACAATCGGCGTCCAGGAGAAACTCATCCAGGAGAAGCCCATCCAGGAGAAACCCATCAAAGTGCGGCTCGGAAGTGCACCGAACGATCCTAAACCGAACGATTCTAAACCGAACGATTCTAAACCGAACGATTCTAAACCGAACGATTCTAAACCGAACGATGCGGCACCGGGTCGCATTAGGTCACGTGGCAGTCTTTCTCCCTTTTTGGATTATTCATTAGACTCTAATGAGTCTCTGAGCCTGTTCTAAGCCGTTTCGAGCGCATCCGAGAATGTCGGATATCCGGAATGAATCCGGACCGTCGGATATCCGGAATGAATCCGGACCGTCGGATACACTCGTTATCAGAACCAATTTAAAAAATATATATATATATAAGGCCGTGAACATCGGTTCACTTTTGGCAGGACGGTGCACAGTTTTTAAATCGAGACACACATTGAACCAAAAATAAAAATTTTTGCTCCAGATAATGCTGAAACGAATGACGGTATTCATATGAAACAAATCCAAGCCATATAAATATTTGCAAGTTTTATATCATGTTCCCGTGGCAGATGTGAGGCAATTTGGATTCTCACAATGAGCCTCACTTTCTTTTCCAAGGATTAAACGAAGTTCATGCAATTTTAAGACTTTTAGATTTTTTTTATTTTTGCAAATTGCGGTCAACTCTCGATAAACCGGAGAACCTTTTTTTTTTTTTGCTCAGAATACGCCAACTGCACAATTTTGAAGAAAAAAAAATTCGATCTATTCCAGTGATTTCATATTTTTAATTAGTGCAACTCCAATTAGTCAGCTCACATTATTGCCGCAAAACGCGGAAATTTTTTTTTTTTGCTAAGTTTTGCTGACCTTCAACCGCCTCCTCCTAACGGCCCACTTCCAAATTTTCCTTCACTGAAAACCGTAATTTTCCTGAAAAAAGCTCGAACCGTCGTCTAGGGAAGCTGCGTATAATCTAAATGAGACATTTCCATTCTCCAAATGAAGAGACGGGATTAGGCCGGATCAGCCCCCTCGCTAATCTCTGGAGTCCTATTCTAACGCTAGTTTCATCGCCTACAATTTTGATGTCTATCGTGCGACAGAAAGGAGCTACTGGCCGCAATACATTTTATACATGGTGTGGTAAAGTATGCCATGATTGCGGCTGGTAAAGTAAGCTGCTTTGCGTAACATCGAGTAAGACTTACGCATCAATAGAATAAAACACGTTTGTGCAAGTAAAGGTGTTGGCGGACGCCGGCTAGTTAGGGTGGCGCTATGACGGGGGAGCGGTTATTGCAAGCCCATGGGGAAAATTCGTTCTCGGGGGAAGGAGTTGGCGATGAGCGAGAGTGGCGGTGTGTTGAGGGTTGAGGGTTGGGGTTGAGGGTTGAGGGTTGAAGGTTGAGGGCTGAGGGTTGGGGGTTGAGGGTTCACTGTACTGCCGCTTGGGAGATGTGAGCCTTTGTTCGTCTGGTGACACCAGGCTTCGAATGGAGAACCGCACAATTGTTGACACTTGTTTGTTAATACGATCGATATCAGATGAGGCTGCGTTGACTGGAAATGATGTCAGTTTTATTTTTTACTTCCCATTCCCATAGGTATTAATATAATAGGGAAATGGCAGATATTGCGGTCGTTCTGTCACTTTTTTCTTTCATTTCAGCTCTCCGCGGTATCCATAGCAGCCGGACAACACGACCCGCCGCGCATGCGCAGCTTTCCGCCTGGGTCGGGGTGACGGGCTTCCACTAAAACATCCACTTCCTTTCCAGCCCTCGCGGTTGACGGATCCATAATGGACAATGCGGGAGAGCGGCTGCTCCCGGGTCGCGTTGACAGGTTGCTAGGCGTACGCGTGAAATGCCGCACCTGGCATCCTGCACATACTCTCCTCCCATCTCCACGCGACGCATGACAATCGAGAACATGTCCAATCGTCCGGGCCTTTTCGTATAGGTTTATGCCGTATCAATGACAGCTATTATTTATTTCAAGGTTGGATGGTCAGGATACGGCGAAGAAGATGATTCCGGTGGTATGGGTCATTGGAATAGCAGATCTGTACCTGGGCTGGTACTAGTAATGCATGCGGGTTTTTCGCAGGCAAGACCACATTCATGAGAATGGGATTTAAACAGCTCAAGAAGTTGATTTATGTGCTTTTTGGGAAGGACGGCAGTAATACCTAAAATACCTCAAAATAAAATACCTTTCACATCGTTGCTCTTCTTTTAGGAGCCTCTAGAATTCGCACATCACAATATTCACAAACACAAAGCAAAACGAGTCCGCTCGAGTCTGTTCCACCGTGACGAAAAGGCAGAGCAGTCGGGCGCTTCCGCGATGCAGCAGCGCGAGCCGAAGGTCACATATGGAAGACGAAAGCGTGCGAAATCCTTTCACGATGAGGAATGACGAGTAGACCGGTCGGGCTCGTGGCTTACAGCACAGCGCCAAGGTCGTCAGTATGGAAGACAAAAACGTGCAATAAACCGTAGTGGCGATGAAGAGAGGAGCGATTTCGGATCACATCATGCATTATGAAAATGCATGATGCGATGCATGAGGCCCGGTCCGTGCCCGGTGAGAGGTTTCACGCTCAACCGTTTCAGAAAATATTGCCATTACTCGAAGACGGCAGCCGGAAGAAATTCGAAGAAATTTATGAATCCAAAAAGGCTTTTCCTCCAGATAGCTCATGAGACTCGAAGTTTTCAATGTTGCTTTCCCGGCACATTTTGACCCCTCGTTGACCCCTCATTGGGCACATCGACCCCTCGAGAAATTTTCATAACTCCAGAAATAATAATAATAAATGGGAGTCATGACTCATGTAAAAGATTTGACATTTGAAATTTGAATTTAAAAAGTGTTTCTTTGTTCTCATTATCTGTAAAGGGAGAAATCCATTTCAAATCTTGTGATTTTTTTTTTAGTTTTGACATGATTATCCCGTGTCCAGATGAATATAAGCGTGATACGTAGTAAAAAAATAAAAAAAAACATTCCAAGCAATATTTGATGGCATAATCTTTATTCCGTTTCACCATGACAAAAAAGAAGACGAACCGCCTCGGTGGACTCGGATTTTTGGAGCCGTTGAGTTACATGAGGGCTCGAAGTCCTTCGCTGCGGCGAGCATGACAGGGCCTTCTATCAGTATATAGAAGGCCCTGTCATGGTGAATCTTCTACCTGATGAATTCCGCGATCGACTGCATTCGCAGCCTCACCAAGCAGACAAGAAGGAATTTTGGATTTCACATAAAAAAAACTGCTGAAGTGAACTCGGAACTCCGACCAGCCGTCGGCCCCTCTCGAAAAATGTTCGCACGGTCATGTCATCTTTCACTTTCACTGGGATGCATGGAGTGAGAAGACACGACCGTCCGACATCGTCAGAATCCTTTATTTCAAGAACGTGCCTAACACTCATCGTTCGATTCCACGGCTTGCTCGGAACTTTCAACGACGCTCAATTCCCTACGAGTCACACTGATTCCAATATATTAAGACTGTGGCATCGGTAGCGTGGCCACCGTACGGCAGACTAGAAGAACTGAAGGTAGGCGATTTACGAAGCGGAGGCAGAGCGTCCGGACGCGGGTCGTCTGGACGCAGGTCGGCGGGAGGCAGGTCGTCTGGACGCATCGCGTGGGAAGGCACACTGGACGGCCGCGGTCGCAGGTGAACGCACGCGGCCGCAGGTGAACACACGCAGGGTGGTCGAGGGGGAGTTAACTGTGCGAGTCTGTGGGAGGATGTCGCGGTTGGCTCTGGTATCACAGTCGCAGGAATTGGGATTCCTAGGTAGCACGCCTGGCGCTAGCTCTTGCATATCACTCTTAAGGTTTCTTTTTTTAATATTCGTCTTTCACTTTTATTTTTGCTTCTTTCTTTTTATTTTTTTGTTCAAGTCCCGTAGGCGTGATACGTCCGACCGAAAGGCGGGAGTCTGTATAAGGGCACGAGGTAGGGTGGGGTGTAGAACGGACTAAATGCAGTCCTCGAGTGAGGTGCTCCCCACGTATTTCGTTGTCTTCCCCAGTGGGCATGCCTGACATGATGCGCTGGAAAAAAACACGTGGAAAGGATGAATGTGCTTGCCTGCGATGGCGATCGATGGGGGGGAAGGGGGGGGGCTGGGGTGGCTTCTTACCTGCGAGAGCGAGACTGGAAGGATCCCAGAGGACAGGTGACACATGGGACTCCATTCGCTCGACTGTACATCCCAGGGGGACATCCCACTGAAACAGATGCGTTTGAAAAGCCATGACGCTCGGATCGATTACGATTCCTGGAACGGGTCGGAGACCATAGGGAAAGGCGATGCCATGCCATAAGGAAAATATCATGAAAACTGGAGCGGCACGGGCGAGTCTGCCAGAAGGGATTCGTTTTAGGGGGGGACGGGGCGGGTCGATCGGCCGCAGAACTTTCCGGCTCTGTCGAAAACTTCATCGAAAGGGGGTGGGAGGTGCCCGTGACATGGAACATGTCTCTGACATGGAACGTGGTGACCGTTCGGTAGCTCGGAACGAGCTCGTATGTGAAAAAAAAAAAAAGATTTCTCGAAAAGACTCGATGGTATTTTCGTGATTCTCCAAGAAATGCTTCGCTGATTGCCATCATGAAACCACTTACAACCAAAACGAGAAGGAAACTCGGGAAAATCCCAGGGGACGGCACGGAGCCGCTCGTTTCCCAGGCCCTCAAAATCCAACATGCTCGTGCCCACGTCATCGGGCAAATATCTCAAAGGATCCCAGCTCGCTCGAGTCGAAAATTCTCGATTTCCAGTCGGTACAGGGCCGACGATGGACCGGATTTCTGTGTCGGGCAATCGCTTCCGCGGAGAGTGTGATTGCCTTCTGAGACGCTCATCTTTAGTCTCGTGAGAAAATTCCGCTTTCAAATAAACCGCGACGTTACTCCCCTCTCGCAAATGATAGATTTAAAGGCTAAAAATTATGAATAAAATCATTCAGCTCATCGCTAAGACCATATCTGCCCCAATTAACCGATGGAACACGACGGGAGCCGCTTACCGCATAGCCTCTTATGATACTCCCTGGCCTCGAACCCGGGCAGACAACCAGATGAGGCTGATGGTGCAGAAACAGCTGCGGGACCGGAAAGAGCGCATTCGTTAGATGCAAATAATAATAATAATAAAAGTAAAATAGAAACAATATAAATTTTCTGGGAAATGCGTTACACTTAGAATTTTATAGCAAAAAATTTTGAGGCAAACGAATTAAAAACCTGAGAAGTTAATAATAACAAATTCGCAAGTAATTTATTTTTCATCAAAAGGGGGGAAAAATGATAATAAAATATTAAAAAGTGTGACTATAAAGATAATTAAAAAATGAAAATAAAAAATAAAAAATAGAGAATAAAATAATAATAAAAAAGGAAATTCACCTGAGCAGGGTGGGACGCGAGAGCTGGGTCGCCAGAGTTTCCGGCGTCCACACATGAAGGTGAAGTGGCGACGACGGCGACGCGGGCGGCGACGGGAGAGCGACAAGGCCCGAGAAGGGAAATCGAAAAACGTGTGCCCTCGTGGGCATGAGGCTTTACAGACTCGGCCCCAGGCCACTTGCTTGCATGCTAGGGTCACGTTGGGTGGGGGGGCGAGGGAGGGGCAGCGGGAGTCGGGGTCCAGGATCCGGTCTTTTTTTTTTTTTTGTTAGTCGAGAGAGAGAAGCCGGAGAAGGGAGAAGGGGAAAAGAAACAAAAGGAGAAATTTAGACAAACCGGCACCTCGAAAAAGGAAATTTTTTTTTTTTCTCTGACATGCCGCGGGCTCGATTCTACCGCGATTTCTCGGTTCTTCGCATGCTGTTCGTGTTTCTACCTGGACGAGTCGGGAAAGTATACAGGGACGGACCAAGAGCGCCGGCGATGCACCGCCGGCAATCGGAGGCAATCGCGGGCAATCGCGGGCAATTACGGGCAATCGTAGAGACTGCGTGCATGGAAGTGTCGGGGAAGTATCCGCATGCTCTGCCAAGTGCAAAGGTCGAAACAGACTCGGGGGGGAGGAGGGAGTGCTCCCCTCGTTTCGAGTGGAAAAAGTGGGGGAAAAAAAAGTTGAGAGGTAACGGCGATGAAGCGACTACTCGGTGTGCATGCATGAGTGTGGAGAGTTCGTGATCTGGATCGTGGGGAAGGTGGAGGTGCATGTGGTACTCTACGGTACTCGATGGGTACTCCGCCCCGAGCCGCATGGCGTATCGGACCGATATTGGCTCGACTTAGGGCCCAATATCGCAACATTGGTCGAACGGTGGACCGATATCTGCTCGAGATAAGCCAATATTAGCTCGATATTAGGGCAATATTGCAAAATTGGTCCAGCGTTGGGCCAATATTGGTCCAGTATGCTCTGCTACTCGGAACTCTATTAGAGCCTGTGCGTAAGGCCAAAATTATGCCTAAAAAGCTAAAAACGACTGGAAATTTCCACTACGATCGATCTATGTTCTCAAGGCTGCAGGAGAGAAGACTCACAGGTGAGCTCGATCGTGAAGTGGCACCTGGCCTTGTTCCCGGCCTCGTCCGCGGCCACGTAGTAGATGCTGTGCTTCCCCGCCGACAGCTCCATCCCCGGGGCCTGCAAACCGAGCGGTTTCTGGGACCTCTGCCTCGAATTCGAATCGATAAACATTTTATTTAAATTCTTCCTCGAACCTGGTTCTTCCAGATGTGGACGACCGCGACGTTGTCGACGAAGCGGGGCTCCTCCCACGAGACCCTCTGGTTCACGCGACCGATGGGAAGGGCCACCTTGAAGGGCGAGGGGCACCCGAACACCTGGGGAGGCTCCTCGTCTGGACGGACGAGAGATGGCAATATCGGCAATATTGAACGAACTCGGTGGCTAGTGCCCTAACTACCGGTGAGCGAATTTCGTGCTAATTTTTTCTCATCGATGTTACCGTAAGGTGTCAGAGCCTGTCTGAAGAATATCGAGCAATCTTTCTTTTATAAAAAAAAAATCCTCCAATTTGACGCTGGAGGAAAAATCGATCGTCGGCATTTATTCAGTAACAGTAGCCTTATTTCTCTAGCAGACAGCATTGTTTCATTTTTTGCGAATAATATCAAATCCTTTTGTATGCTGACATCAATGCATCTAGAGAGAATCGAATTCCCAACGAGAAAGAGTGCACCCACCGGCGACGTAAACGGTGAAGGAGCATATGGCGGTGGTGTTGGAGATGGGACTTCGGGCCCGGAAGGTGATCAACGTCTTCCCTGCCCCCACTTCCCCTTTCAGGTTCTTCGCCCACGGAGGATCTGCCTCCACGTATCTGTCGAGCCCGCAATAAATAAATTCCTGAGGTGGGACAGGGTGGGGCAAGGTGGGACAGGGCGGGGCAAGGTGGGGCAAGGTGGGACAGGGTGGGACAGGGTGGGACAGGGTGGGACAGGGTGGGGCAAGGTGGGGCAAGGTGGGGCAAGGTGGGGGGGTCGACCTTACCTGCGGTCGACGTTTGTATCCGGATGATCAAATTCCACCTCTTTCTTGCTTTCGCGAGGGGCTAGCTTCAGCCGGATGTCAGGGGGGCAATGGATCGATGGCTTTGGGAATTCTGCAATGCAAATCGGTTCATGTCATGTCAAGTTCACTAAGTGGTGCGAGCATCATCATTATTTGCGGCCATTCTCATGACCTCATGACAGGAGGTGCTGTCTCCTTCGACTCGGGGAGGCTCCTTCCAGCACCTCCCACCATGAAAACGGCTACAAGGAGATGAAAGCGTTTGGGAACTTTGTTCGCTGAGGAAAGTCAGACTGCTGACGTTGTACCGTGTCGATTGCGAAAAAAAAGATGAAATCGGGCTATGTTGATGAAGTTTCGCGGAGAAGCGACCGTCGAAGTCGTTCAACGTTTCGAGGCCGTGAGAGATCCCCCGCACTCACGCCAGTTGCCTTCACTCGTGCCAGTTGCCTTCACTCATGCCAGTTGCCTTCTGCGCGGTCGAACAAAAGGCGTTTAAAAAAATTGACTCCGTTCTCTCTTCTCCCCCCAGCCAAGTTGCACATATTCTATTACAGCGTCCCACATTTTTCTTTAAATGGTACTGTAAAAACAAAAAATCGACCGAAAGAAAAGTCGGGCATGATCTGGGGGCAATCTCGTGCTTCGACTGCTATGATTTGGCGAAATGTCATCGCTATAGCCCCACTCTTTTTTTTATGTTTCTGTTTTTATCGTTTTTTTCGTGCATCCGATTTCTCCTCTGAGAAGAAAAATTCAATTAAAATCGATCCTCGACTCGAAGGGAAAAAAAAACCGCTCAAATGCACTCGAAGTGAGACAGCATGCAATCACCGAAAGAAGACCGACTTCTCACGCGAGCAGGACCATCCAAAAGACCAAAAATTGCACACGAAACTGCTACCACTCGACTGCGTACTACTCCTACGGTGGTACCGTGTACTAATCTAATCTACTACTGCGAAATCCAATCGGACCAAACGAGAGGAGAGACAGGCAAGGAACGAAAAGGAATGGCAAGGGGAAAACGATTGCAATCTACGAGGAAAAACAAGCAGGAATCACGGGCGAGGAGTGACAGACACCAGAGAAGGAAAGCTCTTCTAGAATGGGAAGGCTTCATCGAAAGAGGGATGTCTGATAGAGAGGAGGGCTGATCTAGAGAAGGAGGTCTGATCTACAGAGGGAGGTCTGATCTAGAGAGGGAGGTCTGATGGAGAGAGGGAGAACTGATGGAGAGAAGGAGGGCTGATCCGTCTATCTACTCGCGGAGGACAAGCAGGCAGGAGGATGCGTTCGGGTCTTACCGTAGCGGAAGTCAATGTAATGCCTGGACGGAGGGGAAGGGCGGGGGATAAAGAGTCGGGGGAAGGACGATTTGCTGTGGGTCCATGTGGTTGATGTGGTCGCTGTTGTGGTTGTGGCTGTGGTTGTGGTTGTGAGTCGGGGCGCTGCGGGGATTTCGTTTGTCTCCACGATTGAGACTAAAGCCGACACGAAACAAAGACATAGAAGAAGGTGTCATTTCATGAGCGTTGGCGGGGTCGTGGTCGCGACGGGGGCGTGCTGGTGACGTCACGGGTGTCGTCTGCCGAGCCACGCGCGCGCCGGCGCCAACGGCCTCGCACCGGCCCCCAGTTCCCATCGGTGCTGCGGCCGATGGGCTCGATGAGGATCGACGATGCGAGTGCATCGCAGAGGTTCGCGTCTCCGCGAGTTCGCGCTCTTTAAAAATGCGGCGCCGCTGGACGGAAGATTACGCCGTCTGGAAATTTCACGCCAGGTTCGTAACACTGAAACCGGTCCTAAGCCCGAGGCACATTCTAACACTACTTCTAGCACTGGGTCTAGTCCATCAAAAACAACAACAGCCTCTAATACTAGAAGCCGAAGTACAATCCGCTATTCCCGTGCTTGCACGCTTAGAAAGAAGCCAGAAATTCCCCGTCGGGCGCCTGGCCTCGGCAGACGGCACTCGTGACGTCACCGCGAGAAGCACGCGAGCCGCGTTTCGTCCCGTGCGTCGCAATCCGAAATTCCTCCGACTGGCGTTAAATTTCCGATTGGGAACATTCCTGAATCTATTTTACGTTATTTATTTATTTTTGGTAGTTTCCCAATTTAAAATATCGGGTGAGGACCAACGGCTGAGAAAAGATATTTGGCCGCTTTTTATCCAAATTCCTTTTATTGGTATTATTTTATTTATTTATTTTTCTTGTAAATCAAATCTCCCGTTTTGCCAAGAAACCAAATTTGCAACCAGATGAACTCATTTTGGTAGTTGGTTGCAAATTTTCTTTTCGGTCCCTTTTTGGAAATACCCAGAAATTTTGCATTTTTTCGAATTCGCGCGGTAAAATATTGATAAATCTGATATTTTGAACCATCCGCGAGATCAAATCCCTTTCCACGCGGCAGGAATTGGCACTTTTTGCATCATTTAAATAATAAAAGGAATGAAATAAAAAATCAAAAGTAAAATTAATATTAAATTTAAATCAATTTTAGAAACTGAAATATATAAAAAAAATTAATATATATGTATATAATTATTTTCTCACGCCCTAATTTTAATTTCCCAACTTAATCCCAAATCGATAAATGAAGTAACTCCCGCCTAAATCGATGCCAGAAGCGACGAACCTTTCTCGCAGCGAAGCGAGTTCCCGTGGACGGACCAGGTGGCATTGTGCTGGCAGAGGAGGATGGGCCCGCCGCCGACGAGTTTGTAGCCGGGGGCGCAGGTGATGACGCACTTTTGGTCCGCCCTCGTGCGGCCCCGGCCGCAGCCGGCCGGGTCGATCCGGCCGTGGGCGGGGGGCTCGAGGGGTCGGCAGGACGGCACCTCGGGGGCTGCAACATGCCGGCGACTTACAGGCGACTCTCGGGCGACTTACCGTTATTCAAAGTTCTATCGGTCTGGGACGAGCGAGGCGACCGCGAGATTGTATAATTACCATTACCATTTTTCTTACCATTCTACTCCATACCTACCCACTTAATAATTAATAAGCTCAATACCTGACACACTTAATAATAATAATACCTAAACGCAACGTCATGCTCGAAACTCACCGAGGCACACGGCCGCCTCCCCCCTCCACTTGCCATCGTGCCCACACGACCGATAGGTGGACCCGCTGAGCTTGTACCCGTGCCGGCAGTTCACCTTGCACCAGGTGCCAGGCGGGTAGACGAACTTGCTCCCGCCGCGGTGCCGACGGTGGCACCGGAGCTCCCCGTGCCTCGGTGGTCGCAGCACCATGCATCCCTCGCTCTTCTCTGCAAATTACAAAATTACAAAATTACAAAATTACCTAATTGTGAAATAATGAAATCACGAACTGAAGCTCTCTGCGCTAAACTTGCCTTTGCACGTCAACTTGTCCGCGTCCAGGGTGAAGTGATCGCTGCAGGCGCAGAAGTAGCTCCCCTTCGTGTTGATGCAGTCCTGGTTGCAGCCCCCGTTGTTCACCGTGCACTCGTTCATGTCGTTGCACCGCTTCGGGTCGCTGAAACCGACACGTCAATGGGAGCTGAAACTCACGTGCGCCCTGAACCGAGGAATGCCGGCCGAACTGGCATGCCCTCCCCTCCCCCATGCCAAATTTCGGCTTGCAAAAAACCGTGAGGAAATAAGAAGTGGAAGTGAAAAAAAAAAGGCGACAGACTTATAATCCTGTTGGAATCCCGGCCGACACTTGCACCGGAAGGAGCCCGGCGTGTTCTCGCAGACCTGCTGGCATCCCCCGTTGTCCTTCGCGCATTCGTCCACGTCTGCAAAATGAATCGAGAAAGAGCACGCTATCTTAAAGTGGAATCCCCAGAAACCATCAGATCGTCCGTGAAGCTCCAGACACGATTCATCGAGACGCGATACATCGAGACGCGATACATCGAGACGCGATACATCGAGACGCGATACATCGAGACGCGATACATCGAGACGCGATACCCACCTTGACAGCGACCGTCTCTCATCTCGAATCCCACCTCGCAGAGGCATAGGAAGGACCCCGGGGTGTTGACGCAAGCCCCCAACTTGCACGGATGCCTCTCGCACTCGTTCACATCTGGGAAGAAGAAGAGAGGCGTGAGACTCCCGACCTGGCACGAGGCAGGCACGAGGAAACACCGAGGGCAGTACCGATGCACCGTCCGTCCCGGTCCTCGTAGCCGGCGCTGCAGGCGCATCTGTACGACCCGACCGTGTTCACGCACTCTCCCTCGCAGGGGTTGGTCTCGCACTCGTCTACGTCTGTAGGGAGATCGTGTGAGATCGTGCCAAAAATCCGACCGCGATCGTGCCAGAGGAAAACCTACCGACGCATCGTCCCTCGAGGAAGCGGAATCCCCGGCGACACACGCACCGGTACGACCCTTCCGTGTTCACGCAAGACTCCGGGCAGGGGCGTGACAGGCACTCGTCCACGTCTGAAATGCACGCGGTAACGGAGGTCACAGGTGACAGAGGTGACATTAACCGAACGTCGTCGAAGACTCACCGACGCATGCTCCGCCCGGACCGACTGCATACCCAGGCTCACACGTGCACCGATACGACCCCTCCGTGTTCACGCACCCCCCGGAACATGGCTTCCCCAAGCACTCGTCCACATCTGCAACAAAAAAATCCATAACGCCTCCAGAACGACAACCGCGAGGTCCAGAAAGCGGGACCCCTCCCCAGAAGACGGAACCTCACCTCGGCAGGTCCCGTCGACCATCTCGAATCCCGAGTCGCACTCGCAGCGGTACGACCCCTCCGTGTTCACGCAGCGACCCGGGCAAGGGTCGTCCGCGCACTCGTCCACGTCTGCCACAAACACCCCAAAACAATGCTTTTAACCATTCGACCCTTTCGACCCGTTCGACCCCTTCGACCCTCTCGACCGTCCTCACCTCTGCAGGTCTTGCGATCCTCGCCGAGGGCGAACCCCGTCGGACAGGAGCAGTAGGCGAATCCCGGCAGATTCACGCAACGATGCGAACACCCGAAGTTCCCCTCCTCGCACTCGTTCACGTCTACAAAAAACGACCTCCCTCAACGACCCCGCCGACGCCCCCCCCCCCCCCCCCTCACGACCCCCCTCCCCACTCACCGAGACACCCCTTCCCCTGCACCGTATACCCCCTCGGACACCTGCACACGTACGACCCCGGCGTGTTCTCGCAGATCCTCTTACAATCGTGCAACCGCCGCCTGCACTCGTCCACGTCCTCGCACGTCCTCCCGTCCCCGGCCAGCTGGTACCCCGGCGGGCACGCACACCGGTAGCTCCCCTCCGTGTTCACGCAATCCTCGGAGCAGCCTCCCCGCTCCTCCGAGTCGCATTCGTTCACGTCTGCAACACGCGGGGAAAGACCATGTAGACTCTACGATCGCTCTACGATCGCTCTGCGGTCGCTCCGAAATCGTTCTGAAATCAGTCCGATTGCAGGAATATACAGATGTCTGGTTCGTTTTGCGAATTACATATGAGGCCAATTACGGGACATCCTGGGGAGCGATTGCTAATCGAGAAGAATCGTCCGATCGCGATGAGAACAGACCTTGGCAATTTTTCCCGTCCCTGCTGAGGGCGTAGCCGACGGGACAGTCGCACCTGGCGGAGCCCGGAGTGTTCACGCATTCGTGCGAGCACCCGAAGTTCTCGTTCGCGCACTCGTCCTCGTCTGAAAATTTGCAGGGAATCGGTAAAATTTCGGAAATTTGCAAAAGGAGGAAACCGAGCCGGTCGGGACTCACCGACGCATCCGATCAGCGGGATGAAGGCGAAGCCGCGATCGCAGGTCTCGTGGAAGGGCTCCGCGGTGTCGACCTCCCCGCCGCTGCCTTCCTCCTCGTCGAAGGTCCCCAGCTCGTTGGATTTCTCGTTCCCGTCGAGTCTGCCGCGCGGGATGTGGATGGCGTTGGGGTGTTCTCCAGCGCCAGCGGGGTGGGGGTCTTCCTCGTCGGTGGAGACGTCGTCCGGCGGGGGGAAGGTGACGGCGTAGGTGACGAAGCCTTCGAGTGGTTCCTTCGTCACCACCTGCACCACGTCTTGGTCGAACTTGTCGGTTTCACCGTCCTCGTCCCATATTGGAACTTTGGGCTCGGATGGGTGGTCCGGCTTCGTCTCGGGCTCGGGGCGGGTGGGGGCTTTTGGCTCGTGGGGGATCTCGTTGCTGATCCGGTCCTCCTCTTCTGTTTCCCTTTCCTCTTCCTCTGTTTCTTCTCCTTCCTTTTCCTCTGTTTCTTCTTCTCCTTCCTCTTCCTCTGTTTCTTCTTCTCCTTCCTCTTCCTCTGTTTCTTCTTCTCCTTCCTCTTCCTCTTCCTCTGTTTCTTCTTTCTCATCATCTTCTGATTCTTCTTCTTCCTCTTCCTCTTTTTTTTCTTCTTTTTCTCCCTCCTCTTTTTCCTCCTCTGCCTCTTTTTCTTCCTCTTCTTTTCCTTCCTCTTCTTTTTCTTTTTCTTCCTCGTCTTTTTCTTCCTCGTCTTTTTCTTCCTCGTCTTTTTCTTCCTCTTCTTTTTCTTCCTCTTCTTTTTCTTCCTCCTCTCTTTCTCCCTCTTCTTTTTCTTCCTCTTCTTTTCTCTCTTCTTTTCCTTCTTCTTCTTTCTCCTCCGCTTCTTCTTCCTCCTCTTCTGTCTCCTCCGCTTCTTCTTCCTCCTCTTCTTTCTCCTCCGCTTCTTCTTCCTCTTTTTCCACCTTTTGCTTTTCTTCCTCTTTTTCTGACTTCTGTTTTTCCTCAACTTTTTCAACTTCCTCGTCATCTTCTTCCTCACCGTCTTTTTCCTCGTCATCTTCTTCTGCGTCCTCTTCCTCGTCCTCTTCCTCGCCTTCTCCTCCTCCTTCCTCTTCCTCGCCTTCTTCGTCCCCTTCACCGTCTTCATCCCCTTCCTTTTCTTCATCTTCTGCCTCCTTCCCTTTGCCATGAATTTCTGACTCGGTCTCAGGCCTCACCCGCTCTCCACCTGGAGTCGCCTCGGTCCCGGGCCTCGCCTTCCCTCCACCCGGAGTCGCTTCGGTCCCGGGCCTCGCCCTCCGGTCCCCGTAGTCGTTTTCCTCCTCGTAGTAGTCGTAGGTCTCGTTGTACTCCCCGCCTTCCTCGTACTGGTAGCTCTTCTCTTTTTCCTCGTCGTAGTCGCGCTCGGGGGAGACTTCCACTTGGGTCTCTTGGATGGGGGCGGGGGTCGGGGGGGAGTCGGGGCCCAGGCACGTGTAGGAGCCGAGGGTGTTGCGGCAGCCGTGAGTGCAATTTTGAGCAAACTCTGGGACGTCGCACTCGTTGATATCTGGGGATCGACGGGATCAGGTCTTAAACTTTCTTATAAATATTTGCCGGAAAAAAATTCCCAATAGCCATAACGAATTAAATTCATGGAGATACTTCGTTGACCAGATAGACCAGAAATTCATGTAAATTTCAGTCGTTCTCAGCGTGATATGACTAAACTTGCCGTAAATTAACCCCAAACAACCGGTAAAATTAAATTAATAATAATGCATGAATACCAGCGCAAGTCTTCCAGTCCTCGGTGAGCATGAACCCCGGCGGGCAGGTGCAGAAGGCCGTGCCCACGGTGTTGAGACAGCTGTGCGAGCAGCCGAAGTTGTCGGCGGCGCATTCGTCGATGTCCTCGCAGGTGTGGCCGTCGGGGGCCAGTTGGGTCCCCGGGAGGCCGTCGCAGGTGCAGGTGTAGCTGCCGGGGGTGTTGCGGCAGGCGTCCTGACAGGGGCCGTGCCCGTTGTTGCTCAGGCATTCGTTCGTGTCTGGGGGCGTGAGGGAAGTGTGTGAGATTTTTTTTTTTCATTCATGTTTAAAATGAAATGGAATATTTAAAAATATTATCATATTTAGTAGAGACTTTTTTACGTGTATTACCGCCGTAAGACACATTAGGATGCACGTCGTCGGGATGACCGCGTCCCGTCACATTAATTGCTTGAAAATCGCCAATGGACGACGCTAAATACCGGCTATTCCCCGTTGAAGCTGACTTTATGGGCACAAAATCCCTACAATGCCTTCTTATTTTCTTTTTCACAGTGCCTTCGGAAAGCTTCTAATAAATCGCATAATTCCGACAGTCCACCGCAAATCGTAAAATACGATTCAGATCTGCCCAAACCCATTGCCCCAAAATATTTTTCAGACAAAAATAAAAATAAGGGAAAATGGGAGGCTTGCGGTCTCGTGACGAAAGGCGAGGAGTAACTTCTGGAGCCCTAATAACGAAGGTTATTAGGTAACGGTAACGAAGGAACTGCCTTCGCGACGCGTCATCTTCGCACTTCTCTTCCGAGCTAATTCCATTTGAAATTTCATTAGCAACTCCATACGGCGACGAAAGATGAGCGTAACTCGGATACAGGGAGACTCGCAACGACTGCATCAATATCTCATCCGCGTAATGAGATGGGAGGCTGTTATCTCGGGAGAGACACCTCTATTGTCCCCCCGGAGGACAAAGACGAGGGCGGAAGAGCAGATAACCTCGGGTGGGGGGCTCATCTGTTTCTTTTCCTTCTTTAGCCCTTTTTGGCTCGAGAGGCCGAGTCTCGCCGTTTCTCGGAATGGCAAATGGAGAATGCATGAAATCTGACGAAATGAGGTGAAATGAGAAGGTGAAATGAGGAGGTGATATCGATCGATGGTCACTCTGAAAGCATTTTGAAACCGCCTCACTCACCAACGCAGGACCTGCCGTTCGAGGCGAGCCGGTGGCCGGTGGGGCAGGCGCAGACGAAGGAGCCTGGCGTGTTCTCGCAGGTCGCCTCGCAGCCTCCGTTGCTCTCCGAGCACTCGTCCACGTCTGTTTCCCAGGGGGATAAGCCTCTTTCAGGTGGATCGGTCGACGGTTTCGCGATTTCGCGATTTAATGCGGTGCGATTCCCGGGGAGTCTTCTGCATTCTCGTTTCGTGTCGCTCGATCATAATTTCTCAACCCTGTCCTGGGAGTCGATGGCCGTAAAACCCTAAATGGGGACTCGTCGACCTTCTCGCCGTCCTCACCCACCTTTTCGCTATTTAAGGCTATTTAAAAGCTGAGCGCTATTCCCCATTTAAATGCGATTGCTGTACACTTAAAAAAAATTATGAGGTAAGGCCAGAAAGAGTTACTGCGCCACGCGTAACAAGCTCCAACCGACGACCCCATCGAGATCTCCCCGCGCCTGCACGCGCGCCTGCACGCGCACCTGCACGCGCACCTGCACGCGTGCCTGCAAACGCGCCTTCAGGCCCTTCAAGCCGACCTCCCTGCTTTCACCCCATAATGAGACCCCGATCCCGCGTGGGCGGATGAAGGATGCAGAGCGCAAGGGCTGATGATTATGAAGGATCTCGATGGAAACACGGCTTTCCAGTCCTAACAAGGGAAACGACTCCATTTACGATGAATTATTACGAGGCCCTCCTCTAATCCGCAGTCATTTTTTTCTCACTGTCAATTATTCCAGGCCCTCGGAACATTCCAGGCCCTTGGAATTTCCTAAGTCAGGTCCTCGAAACACCCCAGGCCCTCGGAGTATCCCAGGCCCTCGGAACACCCCAGGTCCTCGGAAGACCCCAGGTCCTCGGAAGACCCCAGGTCCTCGGAGTATCCCAGGCCCTCGGAAGACCCCAGGCCCTCGAAAGGCCTCCTTCAATCATCTCCCCCTTCGCCCACGAGCCGATAAACAATGCAACGAGAATACAGAAGGCAACCTCTTATGATAATCGTCGCCAGCGTTGACACTCAAGCGGCAACCTGCTGAGTGTCAGCCTCGCGGCTCCGCCTGGCAGCTCGGCCTGGCAGCTCGGCCTGGCACTATTTACACAACAGGGGTCGGGACCCCAAGGTCGAGCAGGCTCGTTAGAGACTCGCCTTGACAGGACTTCTTGTCTTGCAGGAGTCGGTAGCCGGTGAAACAGAAGCACTTGGGCGTCCCCTCCGCGCTCATCTGGCATCCGTGCTCGCAGCCGCCGCGGTCCCGTCCGCAGTCCGAGTCCACGATCTCTGCGCATCCCATAATGAACCAAAATAACCTCAGCACTCGGTACAGGATGGTACAGTGGAAAGGTTGCGGTTCTCGTCGAGAATAAAAAAAAAAAAATTTAGTGGAGGCGTGTCACGTGTTTTCAACTTGCTGCGTGATCGCATCACGAAAAAAGGATTGAATATCCCATTGAAATGTTCATAATATAATGCGAAAAATTCAGCTGACACATGAAACGGCAAAACATGCGCGTCGCGAAGGAAAAAACGCTAACGCCGCACCGCTAACGAGAGCATCCCCTGCCGTGAAATAAATGCCAGGTTAAAACTGACCAACATCATCGCATCTTGCATCCCTGTCGTCGAACATCCAAACAGAGGGGGCAGGGATGCCGGGACGGCGGTTCTTTTTTCCGCCCGCCGACCCGCAGTCGTAGCCCCTTAGTGATCGACCTTGTATGACCTTATTTCAGCTCGAGATGACGTCACGACCTGCTCAAAATCGGGAACTCGGGCCCCGGCACGAGGACCCAGTCCTACGCCAAAAATCACCCGTTAACTGGTAATAGTTACGCTGTATTAAATTGACTAGAGAAATTATTCTTAATGGCAAAAATGCCTCACCCATCCCCTTCTCTCCCCCCTCCCCCAACAAACGCTGAACTTCTCATTCTTGTTTTCTCAACAGCTTCACTCGACCAGAAAAACGCTCCATAAACACGCGAAAGGGGAGCCAGACGAAGTTTGTCATCGTCTCGAGATGACATCCCCCCAGAGGGGAAAAATCGAAAGAAGTGCCCCCCCCCCTCCCCCCCCCTGCCTTCCTTGCCAACCCCGCACCCCGTTCGACGCCCTCATTTATTACCCTCCGGAACGCCGATCTCGATGAGGTCAGGCGCGCCTGCAAAACCCATCCATCCGTCCCCACTACCACTCTCGTCAACCTTGCGGGCGTGCAGAAGAATAACGAGCGTGCGTGACAGTGTCGATGCCCGTCGGGGCGTGCCCCCTCCCCCCCCCCCCCCCCGCCTTAACGGCTTCATCACGCCGCGTGGGGCTTCCGCGTCTCTTCCACGCACCCCCGCGGACGCGCCGTGAATGCAGATGGCTTCGTCGGCAGGTATCAGCTGATTCCGGATTTCCATCACAAGCGACAGAACGTGATGGGGGAGGGGAATGACTGCATCATAACAACATAATCGGGGCTCCCACTCTCCTCCTTCCCCCCCCCCCCCCCCCCCCCCCC